GGGGTCTCCCGGGGGGGTGTGTGGGGGTCTCGGGGGGGGGGGTGTGTCCCGTGTCTGAGAGCAGGTGGGTCCCTGTCGCTCTGGAAGGACAGGAGGGCTCAGGGGACACTCCTTGCCCTTGGGGTTTTTAGCCCCTGTTTTAAGGCCACTGGAAAGGTTCGGGGATCCCGGAGGTGGGTGGGGGTTGACAATTCACTGTCTTGTCCCTCCCTAGCCGTGCTCCACCCTGTCCCCAAGGCCCCCCGTGGGGCTGGGGTCTCCTCGGAGGCCCAAGTGGGGCAGGAGTGCAGAGAGGCACAGCACAGGGGGTCTCTGCTCCTCAGGGACCCCTGCGAGCGCCCCCCGGCCTGGGCCGTAACTCCCCGCTGCAGCTCAGCAGCCAGGGCTGGGGGGGCAGATGGGGCTAACCCAGGGAGGGGGACACGCAGCAGGGTACCCAGGGGTGCCGTGTGTGGAGGAGTCCTTACGGGGCGTGGGGCTGGGGTGCTCTACAGGAGCACACAGTCTGAGTCCTGCTTCTGCCTCTGCCTCCGCTCTCCAGCTGTTCGGGCGCCCGGCTGCGCACGGCCCTGTGGGGAGACAAAACGGGCTGGGAAGCTGCAGAAATAGCAGACACCCCCTTTCCCTTTGCCCCTGCCGTGCTGGGCACCTGCAGGACACAGTCTCCAGCCACCCCACGACATGGCCCGCTCCAGGGCTCCTCTTCAATCCCTCTTCTGGGTCCTGGGAAGGAGGGGTGCTAGGAAGGGGGACACCGGTACCTGTGCAGGGGCCGGGGCCGGCCGCTGCTGCTGCTGCTGATATTCCTCCTGCTGCAGCTGGCGAGCGAGTTCGAGGTCGCTGAGTGCCGAGGGGCCCTGTCCCTGTTGCTGCTGCAGGGACAGGGCGATCATGTAGTCCTGGGGACAGAGGAGAAGCCACAGAGGGGCTCAGCACCTGGGGGGACCCCAGGTGTCCTGTGTGTCACCCCCCACCACCACTGCAGCCTGTCCCCAACCTGGTCCACTTGTCTCTGCTGCAGGTGGTGCTCTGGGGAGGACGCACTGGCCGCCTCTTTGCCCAGGGCATGGCTGAGATGAAAGTCGGTGTCGCAGAAGCAGCTATCGCCATCCACGTTGTGGAGGCTCTCCCACACCACCCCCTCCTCCTGCAGGAAGCCCTGGTCTGTCACCAGCAGGTAGAGGTGGCCCTGGGAAGAGGGGACAGGGGATAATCAGTCCTGCTGCCAAGGAAGAGGGGGATCTCTGGGATCGAATTCCCTGCGGATGCTGCAAAAAGCCAAGTTTTTGAGCCCTGCAGGGAAACAACAGCCGGGGCATGGTCCCACCTTGTGCTTTATCATGGTGCTAAAGTGGTTGTTGCGGAAGAAGACACTCAGCTCCTCTTCCTTCACAGCGGCTGTGAGCTCGCACAGCCCATGGTACGTCAACTGCGAGGCCGTGGACTCTAGGAACTGCTCCGCGATCAGGCCTGGGTGAGAGCAGCCTCAGAGGGGGAACAGAGCCCGGACGGTCCAGGGACATTTGCTGGGCTCGAACCCAACACAGCATTGCCCAAGGGCCACCTTTGGGGCCATTACCTTCAGTCACCTGGTTGGAGTCACTCGAGTGTTTGCAGGTGATGATCTTCTCCACCAGCTGGTTGTAGCTGAGCTTGCCCACAGCCTGCACCACCTCAGGGCTCTGCGAGGATGGGAAGGGATGGAGCAGTGAGCCCAGGGTGGGGCGAGGATGGTAAGTTTAAGCTGTAGAAGTGTTCCCCCTCTCTGCACAGGAAGGGAAGCAAGTGTCTTGCCCTTGTGTGCCCCAACCCAGCTGCAGCTTTGGCTGCAGCTCCCAAGTCCCACTGAGCGAGCTGGTCCTTTGCTCCACCTCAGGGACATCCAAACAACCAGGCCTCTGTTTTCCCTGACAGCTGAGAGCAGAGCAGGGCCGTATCCGTCCCCAGACAGGCTTTTTCAACCACATTCAATCCACCAGCACATCTGACTGGATGGTGTGAGGCCCCGCGGCTGCAGAGCTGTCTCACCTGCGGGTCCACCAGCCAGCCATGGTAGAGTGGGACATTGAGGAGGTCAAAGACGATGCACTCAGGCGTGTACTCGAAGTCCGAGACACCCGTGAAGCGCACGTTAACGTCCAGCCCTGTTGAGAGCTTGGGGAGGACCATCATGGTGTCGTTGACGTTCTGCAGGAGGAAGGGATCCGGCTTGGGGAATGGGGCCAGGTACCCTGAGTCCTGCAGCCCAGCCCAGCACCCCCTAGTTTTGCAGGCCACAGGCAGCCCCCCCTAGACAGGGGCTGCACTGGGGACAAGGGCCATGTTTTAGGTGAACAAATAGTAAGTCAATTTTTTGGCTGGGCGACCCGTGGCAATCCATCCCTCAAGGCCTGGCAGAAGACAAGCAAATGGGTCTGTTCCTCCCACCTGACCTTGTTCCTCACCTGCTGGAAGTTTAGCTGCAGCCCTTCCGATTTCTCTTGGGGTTTGATGGATAAGATGCAGTCCCCTTCAACAGAGCAAATGCAGCCGGTCAGTCCTGGCACCTTCCCCGCGACCTCTCCTCCTTCCACCTGTCCCCAGGCAGTGCTGAGCTCTCTCCCCTCAAAAGAGCAAGGAAATTAAGGCACAGGCGGGCTAAACGCCGTGCCCAAAGGCATCCAGGAAGCCTGTGGCAGAGCCCAGATCCAAACCTGGCTTCCTTCACACCCCAGGAACTGCCCTTCCTCTGGTCTTGCCATCCCACCACTGGGACACAAGGGATCTGGTCCATCTTGGAGCCTGGCTCCAATTCCTCCTCTTCCACACGCAGAACAGGAACATCCCTTTGAGGACTACATATCAGGAACGAGGTCAGGGTGAGATTCAAGGTTGAAGGCCGGGGGAGGAAAGGCAGAGATCCCCACGGCTGGGAAAGAAGGGATAGACCTGCAAGCAGGGTAGCACGTTGGAGACCCTGCCCCGCGCGGGTCCCAGGTCCCCAGGAGTGCGCAGGGATGGTGCACCCTGACGAGGTCCCAGCTCACCCAAATGCGCCATCAGCTCATCCGACGTGATCACCTCCTTCTGCGGGGGCAGCTTCACCTGGCAGCAGAAGAGATTTGGGACTGTTAGCCAGGCCAAAGCACCAGGCTGGTTCCCCACACAACCTTCTGAACACTTGTCCCAGCACAATAAAGAGAACGGGACATGGGCAGTCCTACTTGGTGTCTCACCAGACAAAATGCACCTGGTGTCCCCCTGTCCCATGCCCCGGTGCCTCTCCAAGCCGCTTACCTTCCACTGCAAGAAGAGGATGTTCATGATGGCCAGGAGCGGGCAGGGCCCATTCTCACTCTGCGTGATGATGGGTGTCCGCTCGCCTTTCCACGTAATCCACTTGACGCAGTAGAAGTCCGGCTCGGGCTCCCGCTCCCGGCTTGGAGACCAGGTCTTGGTGGGCTCATCCACTGGCTCCGCAGCCCCTGCACCCAGGCTGGGCACAGAGGCGTCGGGCAGCGAGGCCCCTCTGGTGGCTCGGTTGACTTCTGCTGCGGCTGCATGGGTCTCTTGGGTGACCTTGCTCTCTTCTCCCACCTCCTCGATCTCCGGCCGCTCAGCATCACCCATGGAGAGAAGGTCCAAGGTGCAGTGCAGCTCCTCCTGCCTTGGGCTGGGAGGCACTTCTTTCTCCCCACAGCACGTGGTCTGGTCCTGCCCATCGGGCTCTTGGCTTTCCTGGCCAGCAGCTGGTAATTCTTCCCCCTCAACAACTTCCTCTAAACCCTGAGGGGCCCGGCAGATTTCGGAGTCAGTCCTTTCACCACTGATGCCTTCCCCCTTCATAGGGACAGGCTGCTGGGGCTCCATCACACCTGCTCAGAACATCCAGAGGTGCAAGGGCCTCTGGCTGCAATCCTGTCACACTCCCCCTGGCAGGCTTGCTCGAGGGTGCTGCTCCCTCCTGCTCCTCTCCAGGAGGCAGGGAAAAAAAGAGTTGAAGCCCTTCCTAGGAGTGGGCAGGGGCTCTGTATCCAGATCAGAGTGTCAGAAACGCTCTGCGTCTGTCCAGGAGTAGTTGCATCCTAAATCTCTCCCTTCCGAGAATAATAAAACACAGGTATTTCAAGACAAAATACATAAATTAGTTCAATTCATGCATCAAGTGTGGCTTGTTTAGCCAAAGCTAAGTGTGGCTTAGGTTTTCCCCCTGTCCCTTTAGATTCATTTAAATAAACAAAACTAAAGCATATCTAAGAAATCTCTGAAAGACTCTCACAAGGCAGATTTAAAAAGGCCTATTTATTAAAGGCCAAGTCCTTGTTCTAGAGGCTGTTTATTCTGCGGGGAGCCCTCCCCGGCTATCTAATAAAGTCTTTGTTAGGCACTTTGATGTTCTTGTGAAAGTTTTGCTGCTGTTGGTTTTCTAAATGACTTTCTGCTCCTCTGCAAAAAAAATTCTTCTGCAGCATCATCACACTTATCAGCACAGCCACTTATCGATCAGCGTTGAGGCAAAGGAACCCAGGTCTGCCTCCCTCTCCTACTTTAAACTCAGTTATTCACCACTGATGAAATGCAATATTCCCCCTGCTCTGTGTATGTGTGTGTACACGAACCCTTTGGCGGATTACACATCAAAATCACCTTTAAAATAATAACGCAACTAATGCACGTGTGTTTTATCTGCCTCCTGTTAGCTTTTAAAGCAAAGAAAAAAACGATAGAAATTAAGCAATTCAAAACAAAGCTACAACCTTGGGCTGAAGAGTTTAACTCATGTACTTACATGAGAGTTATTTTGCTGAAAATCCAGCCCAAACCTGGGCAACAAAGATGTTCCTACAGACAGCGTTTGAAAATCCCTGCCTTTTAAATCCCTGCCAACTTGTTTTTCCAATTCTCTCCCTATCAGTCTCTGAGGATCTCCGTGGCTCCGAATTCTTTCCCCAGCATCCGTTTCTCTCCCACCTGGAGGTTACACAAACAGAACAAAGGCTGCTTCTTTCTCACTTTGACTCGGTCTGGATTTTTCCACCTGCTGCTCGCCGTGGCACTGCCCTTGCCGGTTTTTCTTCTGTGGCCTCCTTTGCTCAGAGGTGACCAGGTAGGCGGCTTCAGCTGGCGTCTGGGCAGCTTGCAGGGGAGTGCCGCAGGCTGCTCCAGCAGCAGGACTCCCTCTGCAGCGTCACTGGGCAGAGATCAAGGAGAGAAACAAGTCAGAGGAATTGGTGCATAATTAGATTGCCAAAAATTCAGCTCTGTTTGGCCTATCGAAAGTCCAGAGCCTGACAGCCCAGGCCTTTGGCAGGTGGGGACTTCAGACGGTGCCTTGCACACCCCAGCAGCCTCTGCTCACTCCCATTTTCACTTTTTCTCCTCCATTCCCCACCTCAGTGCTCTCCTATACCTCTCCCTGCAGTGGCAGGGGTGTTCCAGCTGAAACACACACCTAAGCTGACTCATCAAGAGATCTTATTATTCCTTAATCTTTATCCTTCTCCCTCCTACCGCCAAATGCGCAGCCTTTCCAGCCCTCACCTAAGCTCAAGGATGAAATCAAATCTGATGGCAGCCCTCGGGGGCCCTGCAGATGGGTGGGCGCTTTTGAAAGCACCTATACTTCTGAGGGGAATTGGGCGTTCAGCCCTTTAGCAAGTGTGTGGGGATGGAGGAACTACGGGGCTGTCCTAAGACGCTTGGAGTGGGGACACGTGGGACAAACGCAGAGCAAACAGACAAGCAGAGCTTGACCCACATAGAAAAGGCACCATCTGTGCTTTGATAGAGTTTTGCTGATGTTGCTCTGCCAAGCGTGGAAGAGCAAAGAAATAAGAAAGAATAAGCCTTCTCACAGCTGCCTGCACCACTGCGAGCTCCCATGGGGATGCAACAACAGCAGCAAAAGAAACAAGCAGCTTTGCTGCCCCATTGCACAGGGCTTTCTCCTCTCTTCTTATGGCCCAGTAATGAGACCCTATATTCATAAAGGGGATGATAACAACCACGCAGGCACCATGTCTGCAGTTTGTTCCAATCTTTTGTTTGCTACAGAGCGGAGCTCCCAGCCTCCTCCCCACTCGAGGGCTGTCTGGATGGGAAATTTCTAGGGAAGTAAGTGAGAGGACAATTTACACAGCGTGCTGCAATGGTTCGGCAGTGGCTCCAATCCCTCTCCTGCACAACCACGGTATCTGCTGCCGTGGGGTGTGAGGGATTAGGAAGTACAAATGCATCCAAGATGCAGATGAGACAAACTCACGGACCCGTCCTCCAACAAGGGCTGACAAACCCAAAGGCTTGGGTGCAAACCAACTCTGGTTCAAGGCTCAAGGCCAAAGCTGCAGAGGCCCAGCTAAGCGTCTCTCCAAGCTCACACTTTTTCTTAGCCCCTTTCCTAGGGATTTGCTAGCTGCTGCTCTCCCAGCCATGTTCCAGGGCTGTCCAGGCTCATGGGCTGTCGCAGCATGCTGAAAAAGGCTAGGCTGAATTCACTTCCCAAAACGGGTGAGCACCACCAGGCAGCAGCCTGCAGACAATGGGATGCTGGAGCCTGCGGGCTCTTCCCCTAAAGTGGCTCCGAGCCATTTCCCAACATAAACGAGTCCTCGGCTAACCCTACCAGCATCATGAGTGCCTCTGTTGCCAGCCTGTCCCCCTCCCACCTCTGCCTGTCCCTTCTTGCCCCAAAAGCAGCCTGGATCCTGTGGCGGCTCTGGCACGCTGATTTGCTTTGTCACATGCGGAGCAGGCCCTCTAACGTCACCCTGAGACCCCATCATTGCATTGGATTTGGCAAGTCCCAGGAGCTCAAGGCAAGAATGGGTGCACTGAGTTTTCCAGCCTGTGGTTTCCCCTGATTCAGAGGCCCCTGGCAACTTCAAACAAAATAAGCTACAATCTTATAAACTGTCAGCTCTGTGGGGAGAGGAGGCTTTACTTTGTATTTGCACTGAAGCGGCATGATTGGATCCTGCCCTCCTGCGGCATCCCTGGGTGTTATGGTAATAAACAGTCACATCATAACCCAGGCAGCTTTTAAACAAGAACATCCCCTTGCTGCCTAACACCACCACCCCCCGCTGCCACTAGCCAAGTCTGGAAAAGCAGCACAACTCTTCCTCCTCAAGTGTGCACAGCAGCAGGGCCGGGACACCTGGGTTCCTCCCCAGACCCTGCCTCTAGCTTGCAGCTTGACCTTCAAGCCAACTAACCTCTTTGCCTCAATTACTGCCTCCCCCCCTAGTCTTTGAAGTTATAAGAATAATGATCCTCCTGCCTTTGAGGCCATAAAGCCCCGGGAAACAAAGCAGTTGAGCCCTGGGTGGTTTCTTTACCATGTCCTTGCTGTTCTTTTTGTGATGCCAGCAGCAATAAAAAGGGGTTTTGCTGCTTCCAGCGAGCTTCTCCGAGCCTGGTGGCTGCACTTTGGCTGAAGCACCCCCTGGGTCCCAGGAGCAAGGAGATTTTTATGCTAACTGCGTGGCGTGGTTTTGAGCAGGGACTAATCAAGCTGCAAAGCATCTGGAGAAAATCAACCAGGGCCATCCCCTGCCCCAAGGCAGAATCTGTCCCCTCTGAGCCGTTCCCTTCTCCACCCTTTTATGGGCCCGAGCTAATCTCTCCAAGTCCCAGTCTAAACAGGCAGCAAGGCTCAGTGCAGGTAGATCCGGGCTGTATTTAGCGACTTGCACACTATCAACCAAGCTAAAAGATTTAATAGGGTCCCCAAGGAGGAGCAAAACTGCTGTGTAGTGCTGGAAGTGCACATAGTAAAAAGGATTCATACCCAAAGAGCCAAGTATACTTGCTGCAAGGAGAGCTAGAGTCATTCAGGCCTGCAGGGTTTCATTTAGGAAAGAAAACACGTGAGGGAGGTGAATGGCTTCCCCTCAACAAAAAACAGTCCTCGAAAGGTCAGCGCTGCAAAGGTAAAGCTTTAACAAGCCCTTCTCAGCCCTTCCCTCTCTGGGATGGGAGCTCAGGAGCCTGCAGCTCCAGAGCCAGCCTGGGAGCCGCTGCAGTCTGTACGTTATGCAAAAATGATTCACAGGTAGAAAGCGGAAAAAACCAGCCCTGTAAATGTGCTCATCTCCGGCTAGAACCACAGCGTAAAAACAAAGAGGAATTCAGGCCCTGAGCCAGGAAAGCACTTAAAACACACACTTCACCCTCAGCAACAAAGTGGTCTTAATGAAAGAGGAGCAACGTGCCCAAAGTTAAGCACATGCCTAAGTGCTTTGCTGGTTCAAGGCCATAAAAACAGGCCCAGCAGGTGCCAGTCCCTACCTTCCCGCACACACGCACCATTAAAGCTTACTGTAGGCAAAAATACGGAGAGACTCAGGAGGGAGACAAGATGGGAAATACAAGTTACTAGCGTGGCTGTGAAAGAGCTCGACTCGGCCTCCGAAACACACTGCCTGGCTCCCTCGGTGCCAGGCAGAGCCAGGCACGGCACCTGCTGGGATACGCTGTGCACCCACACAAAGCTGGGGCCGAGGACAGCGTCCTGCAAGGCCCACAGCTCCCAGAGCCTGAAAAACCCGCTCTGAAAGCCCTGGGGCTCGGATGTGAATTTATCCCCACAACTCCTTATGTAGTGGGGACCCATGTGCTGGGGCCCAGGAGGCGACAGGGGTTAGGGCTGAAGGGTTGGGGCTGCGGATAGTTACCTGGTCTCTGCTTAGGAAACAGTCGACTGGCAGGTGGTGCAGATCGGAGCCTGCTGGGCTCGAAGGCTTGAACTCCTCCTTTTATCGCTACTTTTTACCTTTACCTTTGACGCCTCTTCAGGGAAAAGGGCTGTTTCGTCACCTGTTTACCAAGATAAAATCTCAGACCAAACCCATAGGTCAGGCCTCCTCTCTAGAATAAAACCCATTTGGATTTCTCTACACACTGGAACTCTCTCCAGTCATTTCCCAGCTTTCACAGCTCCTCCGGAGCAGTGGGTCATGCACCTGTGGCCAGCGGGGCCCTGGAGAAGGCTCTGCTCGACACAGCTCCAGCCAGACTCCTCTCTCTAATCCACCAAAAACATGTCTAATCCCCACACTTAATCCCCAGCGCTGATGAGCCCATGACATCATCCCCCAAAACATGGACAGCACCTTGTACCCGATCTCTTGATGGGCGCCCCAGCTGCTCCTACCACGCAGACCACAGGCAACTGGAGCCTGGGGAATGGGTCTCCTCCCTTCCAACACCCAGGAATAAAATGTAAAGAGGGTAGAAAGGAAGGAAGAGCAGCTGCGATGGTGTAAGCACAGCACTCAGGAGCTGGCTCCTGAAAAGCTACACTGCCAGTCTGGTGACACACCACAACAGACAGAGCCGGCCAGGACACCTACGAGCCCAAACAGCCGCTGCGTCACTGCCGTCGGAGACAATCATTGGGGCGAAACCTACTTGTTGCTGACATAAGGCAGCAACCCTCGCAGCCCCTCCTCGGTCTCTACACCGCCTCCAGCCCTAACGAAGGGCCAGCGGTACTCAGGCTAGGGGGAGAAAGCCCCTCTACCAGGCCTACATCCATTTCTTCTCCTTCCTGCCTCAGTTTCTGCAGTCGTTACACAGGAACTGCTGTTGTCCTGGGATCAGGGAGGCAGTTTTGGAGCTGCAAGGATTCAGGAGCAGGCTTCCACCCTGGATCATCGACACTCGGATGCCAGGGCAAGACCTGGGGGTCACTACACAGCTCTGACTTGCCAAATCCCTGCTGTATCAGGGCAGTTTGGGGCCAGGGATCTTCTCCCACGTTGGCCAGAAACTGGCCAGTCCTTCCCGACCCCCTGCCCAAATATGACAGCTTTATGCAAGCCAGGGCACTGGGTACAAGGCCAGGCGGCTTCTCTGGGTGCACCCTGGCATGGCAGCAGAGCACAGCAACAGGGGAAATGGAGGCAGCCTCTGCTAGCGGGACAAGTCCAGGCTGGGGTAACCACCCACCCCACCCGCTGTCCTTCCTCTCCTTCCCTCGTCCAAGTTGTCGTCTTGGCTAACAGCTCCCCCGACCCCACTGAAACGGCGTTGCCCCGCGCAGGTCTCCCACCCGTCGCGCCCCAAGAAGCGGCACGAGACTCAGAGCTTGCCCCCCCCCACCCCGCTCAGCACCCCAGCCCTCCCTCTCCCTGCTGAGAATGGCGCCCGCTCATCACACCTCAGCTACCGCGCTCCCCCGCTGCCATGCAGCCCCGTGCTTACTTCGCAGCCCTGTTGACGATGCCGGGGGTGGAGGGGGGGGAGTTTCGCTGTTGTTGTTTCCTCTCTCCCTTCTTTTTTTTTTAATCTGCTGGGGCGCGCTGCTCGACGAGAGGCCCGCAGACTGCTGGAGGAAGGCAAGCTTTTCGATTTTCTTCCCTTCGCTCGGCTGCTTTTCAAAGAGACATCTACCGGGAAGGCGGATTTACAGCAGCGAGAGGAGGAGGAAGGGCAGGAGGGGTGGAGAAAGCAAGCAAATAAATAACTCGCTCGGAGGATATTGCTTTTTTTTCTCCCCCGTCCTGGTCACGCAAGGCAGAGGGAGGCCAGGCCTGCGGAAATTCACCTTACTCGGCAGCGTGGCGAGGCCGAAGGCTCGGTGTCGGGGCGAGCTTTGGGCCTGGCTCCGCCGCCCTCCCTGGCGGCTTCCTCCCTCTACGAGGCCGAGCTCACCGCAT